GGTAGGCAACGCGTCGGGGAGCGACGCACCGCTGTGCGCGTGCGGCCCACCTCCCAGGCGCTGGTTGAAAGCAGTCTGGATACTTACTGGTATGAGCTCTTTCTCTTCTTCGACAAGCTGTGCGCTGAGTCCACCTGGGGCGGTAGCTCCAGGACCTGGTCCATGGCGGACTGTGAGTGGACGCTGCCGGCGGGGTCGCAGAGGCCTCTCCCGCCCAGGCCGCCGAGGCCGAGGCCCCCGCCCAGGCTGCCGCCCAGCCCTGGTCCGAGGCCGGCGCCGAGTCCCCCCAGGTCGTCGCTGAGGCTGCCCCCTCCACCGCCCAGGTACATGGGCGTGTGCGGGGCGCAGGAACTTCTGGAACATAAGAAAATATTGCAGGAGGGACATACGAGATGGATGGGTGGCGTGGCCATCAGCATGTACTGGGTTTAAACCAATTTCCTTCACTGAAAATCCGGGGTGTCCAGCAGGTAAGTTAGGCGACAAAGTCGCTTGACTCGCAAAAATAGGCGACTTCTGTCGATTATCTGCTAGACACCTTCTGGTCTCCCGGGTATAGTGCACTTAATTAAACGCACGCCAAGCATCTACACTTTACGCGTCCGAACGGTTTGCGTCAGCGCGTGGAGATCGGCACGGAGATCAACACCTGAACGAACGCCAGAGCACTGAACTGACAACAAAAGGCTGCGAGAGGAAGGCGGGGGAGGCTTCCTGCCCCCGCGGTGACCCGCTAACAAAACGATGTTGTGCCTCCCTCTTGCCTCCTTACTTTCTCCTCTTCTTTGTTTACCCTTTGTCACTTTTCTGTTCTCAGAATCTCCCCGACGATTATGCTGATTGAATACGTAAAGTGAACTCCGCGAGACTCACAGTCGACACGGGCCAAGTGGCAGGGCGTATGGCACGGCGCGCAACGCCCTGTCAGCCACCAACAACCCCTTAGTTCACAATAGGTCAATGAATTGTATTTACCGAGGGGGCCACCACTCTCTCTTTGGATGTACACATGATTGCAAAGATTGCGTGATTTCACATGATTTCACGGATTTCGCTTATTATTTTAGAAGATTTCACGCTAAAACCTGCCGGCAGATTATGTCTGATTTGAAAGATTACAGATGATTTCAGCGTATTTTACCGGATTTCGGCGGATTTTACGTGATTCCGGCGGTTTTTACATGACCTTCTAAGGATTTCAGACTAAAATTTGCTGGCAGATTACGCATGATTTCATGATTGCAGGTTGATTTCAAATGATTTCGGGAGGATTTCAGGGAGGGCGTACACATGATTTCAGGAGTGGCGGCCCCCTCGGTATTTACGGCATGCTCTAAATATTAAGAACGCTACGCCGGGCGAATGGGTGACGCGTCTATCAGCGAAAACAAGCACGTCGGGTAAACGCGCAATATCAAACGGGGTCCAGACAGGAGAAAACGAAAACAGTTTGACTTTGCGAGTAGAATTTCCTGCGTTTAAATCACTACACCTATATCGCGAGAGAGGCTGTCAGCCGCAGGCGACCGCTCTTACTCAGGAAGGGCGGCCGTGGTGGTGGTGGTGGTGGTGGTGCCGGCGCAGGCCGCCGTCGAGTGGGACGAGAGCTCGTAGTAGACATTATGTTGCGACTGGAGCTGGTGCAGCTGGTGCAGCTGGTGCAGGTGCGCCGGCTTGAGTTGTTCCAACGGCAGGTACTCGTCACGGTCGTCCTCGAGCTCGAGCAGCTGCGAGTAGCCGCCGCCGCCGTCCGGGCCGGAGTCCATCTGCATGGAGGTCAGGGACCCCAGGGAGCCGAGGGACCCCATGGGCCCCAGCCCCTGCGCGCCGCCCCCCGAGCCGCCGGTGGCCCCAAAGTTGCGCGCCACCATCCCCGCGCTCAGTCCAGGGCGCGGCGACGCACGGCGGCCGCGGCCGCGCCCCGGCGTGCGCCATGGTCCCGACGGCGAGGTCTAGGAAGGCTTGCCGGTCGGAGTCCCGGACACGGTGGTCGCCGCCGGAGTCCTTGCTGCCGCAGGCCCCGGCGTCCCTCCGGCCCCATGGCTGCGCGGTGCTGTGGACTCGCGGTCGAGTCCGAGTAGGGTGAGCCGGGCAGCTCAGAGGGGCGGTGCTCTGTCAAAGTAGCCGACCACGTTAGCGGTCAGAGCGCTGCCGTAGCGCTACCGTAGCGCTGCCGGAGCGCGTCTCCCGGGGGGCTCGGGCCAGCTGGGCCCACCCCGCCCCGCTGCACGTGTCTGCGGTCAGTGCATCCACTTCGGAGATACAGATTGCATCGCTAAAGGAATACAGCCGAGGGAAGTTCAGGGCCGCGCCACGCAACGAACGTCTCGATAAGCTTTAGGAAACACGAGATAATCGAGTAATACGCGAGGCGCGTGGTTTAGGGATTTTATTCCGAGCGCCCGGGAGAAGACCACAGCCATTTTCAACCAGCCGCGTCTTCGCCCTCTCAAACGATCGGTGCTCCTTCTCTAACTGTCTGTCCGTCCGTCTGTCCAACTACCTGTCCGTCTGTACGCCTGTCTGTCTGCTGCCCTGGCGAGGCGTTACGTAAGATTATCGGCGAGCCGTCTCCAAGGAGCCACCCTAAAGGGAGGATGGGGAGGGAGGCGATGCCTACAACTGGTTGAGTAGGTAATGGTTATTTTAGGGGGTCTGGACGGACCAGGCGTCCCTGGGGACCCTCTGGGACCACTGGGCGAAACCGTTATTTCTCACGAAGGGGCAATTTTTAAGGGGGAGAAATTTCACCCTTACCCGCCGTGGGGCTTACGGGGTCTATGCTGTAAAGTGGATCGCGCTTATACCGCTCTTTCAATCAAACTGCTGAGCTCCAGTGGACCCTGAGTTAGTTACTTAGATAAATATACAAGAATTTCTATTGTTTTCCCTGAAGTGGTGACCACAATGCGGCCACAGTCCAGCAGCTAATCATGTAAGCTGAAGACGACCCACGAGTACGGCTGGTACAGTTGTCGACAAAACGATCGTCAAACTTTAAGAACCTGAAGTAGCGTAGATCCTCGCGAGTGTGTGAACAACGTCTACTGGCGGGCGTCGGGGAGGGTGGGGAAGGGTGGGGAGGAGGGCAGACTGGAGGGCAGCGCAGGGCGGTGGCACGATCGCAGCCTCGTCGCCGTGCTCCGCGGGGCGGACCAGGGCTGGCCAGGGCGGGCCAGGGCGCTCGAGTCGTTCCCTGGCGCGCGGCGCGTCCCGTCGCGAAGCTTTGGGCTCGGCCGCCCGACTAGTGGGAGACCACCTGAGGAGTCGGCAAGCCTCGCCGCCCCGCCCCCACCGCCCGGCCGCGCGCCACAGCTGGGTGCCGGGTGGGGTGGGACACAAGCGCAGCCTGCGCAGCCTCAGCGCCCC